AAAATAGGTGGGGTAGGGATGGAATCAGATTTTATCAAAGATAAGGTTCAAAATATATAAAATAGAAAAAAAAAAGTTAAAGGTTCGATTCGTATCAAATTTATAAATTATATATAAATATATAATTTTTCGTTAAAAAGAAGTTTAGAATGAATCTCTGGTACCTTATAAATTGTCTATGCAGGAATTAGGATTATTCTTTTAACTTGACCTCTTGACAACAAGCTAAGGTTCTATTTGTGATCGATGCCATCTTAAGAAATCAATATTCATCAAATTACTCAATCATAACGTCGTTTAGTTTTAATATTTTTTTTATTATTATGATAAAATAATAATTGTAAAAAGTAATATGATAAAATATTGAGTTCAAGAAAACTTTCGTTAAAATGAGGTGAATTACGTAGAATATAATTGTAAAAAATATATTCCAAATATTATTTTGGCCAAAAATACTAGCGATGACAGTCTCATTATTGTGGATTAATTAATTAATATGACGATATTGTTGAAGTTTATCTTATAAAAAATAATGATGAAGTTGGGCTTAATTAAGGAATGTTTGTTTTTAAGTTTTGTAATACACAAAATAAGCAAATGGGACAACACAGAATATATCCAATATCCAAGACCTAATTAAACAGGTTCTTTCTTTCTTGGAAAAATCAAATATGTTAACACTTAAAAAAAATTGAATTAAATGTTTTATTCGATTTAGTAAGGTGAACAACTAATATTTAACAATCATTTTGAGTAAGATGATCAACTAATATGAAAAACACAAAATATAAAGTAAATACTAAATTATTTAAGCATATAATCATGTCATCATATTAGTGTACGTAGCTCGTTGAACCCAAAATTCCAATTAATACATATTTAAAGCAACAAATATTTATTCCAGAAAATGTTTCTCCGTACCAAACACACCCTTAACTAATGGAGTTAAGAATATGAAAGAAAATAATACTAGGGATATTTTTAAAGATAATTGACTTGGAGAGTTTAGATCATAGGCTTGGGCAAATACGTAAAGAGTTTCCACTCTACTAATGAAATGTTTTTTTTGGGTCTTGTTTGGTAGTATTCAATTATTGAGGTGAGTTTGAAGAACTATTAAAAATATTTATGATAATTCATTAGATAATATATTATTCAAAAACTATAATACAATATTTTAATTAAACTACTAATAACACAATTTACTAGTAGCTATTACAAATTCTCAGATTACAGCTACTTACGAAAACTCATCGATACAACAAATAAATAATAATAACATCAGTAACTTAAGATTTTTTTTAATATAATCTCGCTATAGATTCTATGAACAATCTCTATATATTTGTTTGAATAAATAGAATTATAATTAAATTCATAAGATCTTGTGTTTCCCAAAATTAAATTTACCTTCGTGTGATTTTAGTTTGTTTTTTATTTTCTAATCTATGAATTGTAAATCAATTGAGTAAATCGGATAAATGAAAATTGAAATGGTGGGAGATAATTTTTTTAATTTATTTTAGTTTTGTGTCACCTGTGACTTCGCCTTCATATGATTTTAGTTCGTTTTTTAATTCTCTAATTTATTAATTGAAAAATCATTTGACTTTGCCTTTGTGTGATATCAGTTTGTTTTTTATTCTCTAATTTATTAATCGAAAATAAAATTGACCTAGTTGAATAAATGAAAATTGAATTGTTGGGAGAGAATTTTTTTTTAATTTATTTTAGTTGTGTGTCACCTTTGAATACGGGGCTGCAAAAAGTGATCGAAGAGGCGTTTTTTCTTAAAAAAATAATAATCTTAGATTAATTTTTAGTGGTTATGTATCATTCTTTTATGAAAGGTATTGATCAAATTAATGGGAGTAGAAGTCCAAACACTTTATTTTGTTACTAGTTAATAGTTAATCAAGAATAACTCAAATAATACATATTAAGTTGATATGATCTAAAGGTTTCTAATTAATGAAACAAGGTCATTAAAATATGTGAAGATGAAAAATGAAATCAAATTTGAGGGTATATTTATATTTTTGGCCTTATAAATTTGACTATTCTAAATTGTGGTCTATGACTTGACTTTTTTTTGAAAGGGCAAAAGTAGGCACAAACACCTTTTCCATTCTTTTAAATAATTTTTAGGCTATCAACGTAGTTTGTGGTGTAATGATGAGAGTGCTTCACTTTAATTAGAGTTTTTGGGTTCAAGCCTTGAGTATGAAGAAAATTTTGTTGGGAGCGCTACCCCCAAATGGGCCCTACAATACACGATCCAGACTTAATTGAAGCTCCAATATAGGCTCTGAATATCGGGCGAGAAACAAAAAAAAAGAAGAGTTTTTAGGCTGTCAAAGAGTTGTGTTAAAAAATTCTTTGATGACTTTTTGGGAGTCCCGAGCCTAAAGGGTATAAAATATTAATAAAAATTTCAAAACGGTATATAAAAATTGCCGTTGTTCCAGCGGTTTTATCGTTTTGGTTAATATAAAATTTTATATACCGTTTTGGAATATTTGTTAATATTTTATACCTTTGGGCTTGAAACTCGACTTTTCGACATGATATAGAACTTAATTTTATATTTGCAACTGTTGGAATAATTCAAAATCTTAAATAGTTATTGCATTTGTTTGAATAATTCAGAGACTTTATAGTTATTTTTCAGTTTTTCGGCAAAAAAAATTAAGGTTGATGAAAACGTATAGATGCTTTGTTTTGTGGTGAGAATCGAACTCAATAAATTTTATATTCAATTATTCATGAACAATTTTATTACTGCTCATGAAATTTTAAAAATTTAAAATAAACCAAAAATTACAATATACGTCGCCATGTTTCCTAATTTGAAGTGTAATTTGACTGAAAACAATCAAATTACTAATTAAGTGAAATATTATCCATAATGCGAGATAACAATTTGTTTTCTGTATCAATACGAGACTCTCTAGACGCTAGAATGTTCACAATTTTATAGCAGAATTTGAGGAGGGAGTTGTAACGGGATGTACTTTTTTGAACATCTTAGTGAACCAACCACCAGAAGAAGAAGACGACTTTTTCGAGTGATCATTACAAATAATTTCTTGTGTTGTAGCTTCTTCCTTCTTCAATGTCTTCATCTTCTCCTTGTAAAGCATTTTTATGGCATAAGTCTCAACAAGATAACTACTAACGGACATGCTTGATATATAAAAATTATGTGAAGCAACAATTAATATTTCAGATTTTATTAGCAAAATACAAGTAAGAAACTTAAAATGGAGATATTGTGATATTTGGTTCCTCAATATTATTTATAGGCACAAATGGGAATGAGCAATGAAATTTCGTGGTATTAATATATTCATTTGGTTTGGATGTTTTTGTTGATTTTTTTTTATGTTATGTTTGACTACCTTAGTGCCTAAGTAAATTGACTAATTAGTTTTCTTGTAGCCAACACAATGAATAGGAATTATTATTATTTGTCCATATTTTCGTTGAACTCTTCTGTTTAATTTGAGCCATACATCGTATCAGTAGATAATATTGGACAATGACTGTACATTGCCTACCATATTGTGACATACCTATAATTAAGGCTCATTTTCGTTTTCTTTCTTGAATCGTTTTTGTCACTAAAATAGTGAAGAACTTTCTAAATACGTGTTCACTGATTCAATCTAAATATTTATGACAATATTGGCTCTTAGAGCTAGTATGAGGGTTAGTTATATAATGGCAAGTGTGGTAACCGTAACATGTAGACTAAAGATTTAGTGTTTGCAAGATTAGAGGCTATATAATTTAGTGATTTGAGGACTTCAAAATTTTACGTTTTAAGTTCAAATTTTAGATTTTATTTTTCGAGTTCTTATATACAATTTGTATGAATATCAATTAATTCCTTATATATTTATTTATACGAAAATTTTAATTTAATCAAAGATCATTTTATTTTTAATTTTAACTCTGATACATTTACATAACGATGATAAGTAATGAATATTCAGCTACCCTACTATTATTTTGGTGGTTCATGGTTGTAAGTTGTAGCCTTTTCTAGTGAAATGATGGACTAACTAAAATGTGATAATACAGAAGAATTTCAGTATTTTCCTTAACATTAATTTGAAAAAATACACTTGTTTATTTTCTCTTTCATATTTTAGATCTTAAAATAAAATCCATAAAAAAAATATGAAGAAATATATTCTTATCGTTTTAGTTTATTTGTTTTTTAATAAAGTAAAAGAAAATTTTGATTGTAATTTTAAATTATAAATGTGTAAATATATCAAATATTATTTAATCTTGTTATTTTAACCACATCATGTTCAAAGATGGGACTCATGTTCGAGGTAGGGGTGTCTGTGCACTCATTAGCTTAGAAAAAAGTGATATTTATATAAATGTTTATATCTAAATAATGATTATATAATTAATTATTTATGCACTCTGAAATACGTAAGTTAAATATTCAATCAGTAGATAATATTAGATATTGACAGTACATAGGCTGCCATAACAAAAGCTTTCGAACTCTCTCCGGCTACGCTCTCTCCCCTTAACTCGATCGCTACTCCTTCGTTTGATATTTCTTTCATTTCTTATATTTGTGCACTCATTAGCTTCGAAAAAAATAATATTTATATAGATAGTTATACTTAAATAATGATCAGATAATTAATTAATTGCACACCCTATTGATTAATATAGTCTAAATACACATATGAATACAAATAAAATAAAAATAAATAAATATAATTGAAAATTAAAGCAAATGAATACAAATGATAATAAGTGTAAATAAATACAAATTTAAAATTAAAACACAAATAAATAAAAACCATACATTTATTGTTGCTTGTATATGCCGAACAATGTTCATCGATACAATAATGAATATACTCATGTGACACTTTTTTCCCCTAACATCTAAAATAATTTGTTATAATAATAAATACCTAAAGTATAAGTCTATAATCATAAATTATTATTAATAATAAAAAACTCAAACTATAGAATTATTATGGCCAAATAAATTTTCCCCAAATTTTAACCTAAATAATATTTGCCAAAAAAAGTATTTAGAAATTTACGGTGAAAAGCTAAGCTAATTCTCACTTTTACTCAATCGAAATTCCCAAAACCCTTTCTCCGTTGAATGGTTTCAGCAATTTGAGATCGAAGTAACAGAGTCCCCGGAGATGGAGTCGAAACCCTAGATCGTATAAGTGAGTTGCCGGAAGTTCTCCTGGTACAAATTCTCTCTCTCTTTTGCCGACCGAAGATGCCGTGAAATCATGTGTTCTCTCAAAGAGGTGGCGTTATCTCTGGACTTCAATTCCTACTTTCGTTTTCAGTAATAGAAATTACGACAAAGTAGAAAGCTTCATTTCCTTTGTGGATAACGTTTTAACTCATTCAACTTGTTCCATAATAAAAAAATTCAAACTCGATTTTCATCATAGCGACTGGAAATTTCATTCGGTAATCAGCAAATGGCTCAATTTTGCTGTGGAAAAAAAAAGAGTAGAAGATGTTGCGTTAGATGCAGCTTATGTTTTAATGACGACCTTGCTAATGAAGTCTTTAACTATGTACACTTGTTCATCATTGATTACATTGGGTTTGTTTCTATTCGCGTCTTCTCTATTTGATTTTAGCAAAGAATTGCTGGAGGTAAGCCTAAGAAAGTGGAGTCTTTAGAATATCATACAACTATAAATTTTTGCAAACATGAGAATTTCAGTGTTTTCTTTTGGTTGAATAATTGGAAGGAAATTTATAATGTATATAGAATTATCTTGTCCTCACCTGTTGGAAATTTATAACGCATTACCAAAATTTAGATGCAAGTGTCTAACTGACACTTGAGAGCTAGAGCTGTAATTTCTCGCAATTTATGATTTGCTTTTAAATCTCTGATTTTTTAAGTTTTAAGAACTCCCCAGTCCCCAACCTCACGAGTTCAAATATTTTCTTCAAGGAGGATGGATACATATCTTTAATTATCACTAAGAATTTTATTTTTTGTCACTATAGAGCTTTAAATCGATTTGTCGAGGTAGTTGCTTTCTATCTGGTAAATGGACTTAGAAAGCAACAGTGACAAACTATGCCTTGTTTTACTTTTGATCTACTGCTTGAGCATATCGATATTGTAATCAATTGCTGAGAACCGTTCAAGGTTTGTGGCTTCTGAAAATTATTCTATGTTACACACTATTGCTAATGCACTTCCTTTTCGTATTCTCATATCTGTTGTGGATCTCCATTTGATTCTGATTATATTATCTACTACAGTTTAATGATTTCCGCTGCCAACATGAGCTACGTTATTTGGGCAAAGGAGATGATATTGATTTGCAAGCTTTGGGTTCCCCAAACTCAAGAATGTTAAGATTATCAGCTTTAAAGGATCAGGATTTGACAAGCTTTTGAAACTTTCAGAATCTCTGCAACGGTTTTGGACAAGTTCGTCATATCAAAGAGCACAAAGTGTGAGATAGGTTCAACCAACTGTGTGTCGACATGTTTATCTCAAATGGCCGAGAAATTGTTAGGTTACACAAGATTTTGCATTTAGTATACATAAATAGCCTAGCCGCAACGTATTTTTAAAAAAAAAATAAAAATGAGGCAAATGGCTGCAAGTTAAAATGCAATGTACTAGACAAATCTGAAATATAATGACTTCAGTAAACGATTTTATTGAAAATTATGTAAAATTTATTGAGATTACAGTAAATGTAGGATTCTCTCACAAAATGTCAAACTACAGTTACTAGGGACTTCATATATATATATATATACACACATATATACTAGATAAAGGATGCCCGTGCAGGGCATGGGCTTTAAGTATTAAAACGTAAATAAAGAAGAGATGATTAAACTTAATAAGATAAAGCTTTATTCACACCGGGTGTTTACACCAATTCAATACGTACACATCACGTGATTAAATGTACAGATCATTTTACTTAATCTTAACATGTGTTTTACTTCACTAAATTACATAATAATGAATTTTGGTATAAATATCCGGTGCTGATAAGTTTTCTCCAACATAGTTTTGAGACACAAATATCATTTGCGGAAGATAACATTATACTGGGAGTTTGCTAAAAAGGCTAAATAATTTGTTTTCTTTGAACATACTACTAAAACATATCACAATCTCTTCTAAGCTAAAGGTTGTGGAAGCAATACCACAACCTTCTTGTTTGAAGGTGCCTGAGAAGTGGAAGGTGTTACAAAAGTGTTGCTAAATGATACAAAAAGAAACAAATGATTTTACAACATAGCCGATGAAAGTAAAATTCCAAAATGATGGATGTTTTGGTTGTCTTTCACCATTGGCAATACTAACATGCACATCCTTTCGTCGAATTACAATGAGATATAATCCCTCATTGTGTACCATATTCTCCTTTACCTTCTTATATTTTGCTCAGAAATTCTTTTACTTCCTCTTAGTTAAATTGATTGAGCTTAACACTATGCAAGAACTTAAAAATGATGAATAGTATAGAAAATAAAATTGAAGAAGTGACTGATCAATCCACTCCTAACAACATTTAGGCACAATCTTCAATTCTTTTGGAATTATCATCGACACCCATCAGTGTCCTAAAGGACACTGCATACCTTTATGTCTTTCTGATCAACAACTCATCTTGGATTCATAGTACTCTAAGAGGAGTATAATAGCAGAACTGATAACCCCATAATATATAGGAGGCTCACTCATCTTATACGGAATTTCAAGTGAAGTCTACAGACAGGAACAAAGAAGATAATATTTGCCTGCTACATTGTAGTACACATTAAAATTACCAATGAATAACTTACGGAATATGAAAAAAAATGAGAAAAAGAACCTTTGAGTACCAATAGTTTCACTTCCTGTTCCCTTGAAATTTTTGATTATTTATTTGGGGGAAAAGTTACAACACACTGTTCATTATACCAAGAAAAGAAAATGTTGATAAATGTAAAAAGAAAAATAAAGAAAAGAATCAGTTCTGGTTGATCTATAATAGCTATAAGCACACACATTGATTACTTAGGCATTTATGATTCTAATTCACAAAAGAAACAATTCCAACAACAGATTTTGCAGCTTGGCTACATAACTTTGTTTTACCAAAACGTAAAAACTACGTAAAGCTTAACAAAGGACTGAAGAGGTGAAGATTAATATCTAAGGTTCAACTTACCGATTCCCAAAAGTAAAATCTAATGAGCAACTTTGTAGTCCAAAATGTGAAACTTATCTAAACATTCCTTTTTTCCTATTCCAAGAAACAGAGGGAACATATAAATATTGGTTCAAGTTGCACCTGCTTTTTGATACAACAGAAAATTTAGAAATAAGAGAAGAGCGCGAAGGACTTAAACAAATGACCCGAGAGCACCAAAAGATCACATTAGATAGGCAACCAATACTGAAGAGAGAGGCATACTAACGAATTGTTAGTACTGGTTTGTCATTTTTATCATTAATCAACCGCACCTCAACATAGTTGGGGCTGGACATTTATGAATCCTCTGTATCTATTCTGCAATTAAAATGAAGATGAAAATTAGACATAAACTACAGACCTCGAACATGCTACTCTTGTCTGAGATGTTGAAATGTGTTTTGCAACTGCAGGTGCTGCCTTTAATGAGCACATTTTGGTAGTAATTTTGTTTGGAGATTGCCGAAGATCGTCAAGATTGTGAAATCGAAGACTAAAATTTCCTGGCTAACAGCGAAAAAGAAACAATGAGAATTCTTGCAAAATAGTTAGGTTATTTAGGAACATCATCGAACACCTTTGATTCACCATTAGAGAACAAACACGCATTGAAGTATCTATTTGTACATATGCATGTGAAGATTGGATAAAAATACAGGAAAATTTGCTCAGAAACAAAGACAAACAGAGAAATTAGTTGGAGAAACACTTACCACAACAGAGAGCTCAGACCTGAGACAAATTAGTCACAAAATGTATGAAGTTTGAAAGAAATCCAGTGCTAGAAACTTGGATATTGGGGAGACGAAGAGAAGAAGCAGAATAAGAGATAAACATTGAGCTGATGTGAAGCAAAACCACGCGTCAATTTTGTGTTAAACAAGTGTAGACGTTAATCGGACATTTTAAAAGTAAAAAACAGAAATACCCTTAGATAGTCCGACGAAACCACCACTTATTAAGAATGATAATGTTCAAAAAGTTACTAATTAGCAAGGATTTGTTTCTTCTCTGATAATTGAGTAGGTGGTTCTTTGTCCTTATTTGCTTCAATTATATCAGCTGATCTCGTTGTTGACAAGAAGCTAGGTTGATTAATTTAAGATAGAAGTTATGCCCACGTGATGTCTGTAATGTCAACCTTGTGTTGTTTCTCAGTGAATCTATCAAAGGGTATGTAAGAATGTGTGTTCTTGACAGGACCAATCATAAAGCCTGTGTACCCAGAAATTGCTTTATGTACCACGCTATGAGCAAGAAGAGTGCAATACACATTGTCAGATGCATTACTTGGAATAGCTCAAATCATGTATGTCGGATCTATATATTTAAGATTGATCACCATCTTCTTTTCTTTCGAAAAAAGCTCCTTTATCCTTTTCGATATCCATAAACCAACATCAACTTGCTCATTATCTTGTCCAGCACCTTCAGCTACGACTATAACCATGTGTCCATTCTCTTTCAAGCCTTTGTTCGATATACTCTAACACTCCACCATGTCCTTCAAGATAGAAACGGGATTCTGGAATCAAACAACAATCAACATCTCGACTAGCAAGACTAGCATACATTGCTACAAACCCACTATCCCGTCCCATTAACTTCACAACCCCAATTCCATTCTCAAAACTCATAGCTTCAACATGAGCAGCACTAATCGCACGTTGAGCTTCCTCAACTGCGGAATCAAAACCCAAAGACTTGTCAATAACTGGTATCTCGTTATCTATTGTCTTGGGGATTCCAACTACTGCAACATTCAGACCATGCCTCGTAATTTCCTCAAATATCAACGATGCTCCTTTCAGCGTTCCATCTTCTGTGATTATATAAACTAGCTTAATTCCTCCATCCTTAATGCTATCAACTATTTTATACGTAATATGAGCCCCTCGAGATGACCCAAAATTTGTTCCACCGCGTTTATGGATGTCATTCACAACCTTGGGTGTCAAAGGAATCGTCTTTTTGGAATAGAAACCTTGATATCCTCCATCTATCCCCATGACTCTTGTTACACCATACATAGAGTACAAGCCATATACTATTTCACTGATAATTGTATTGAGACCAGGACATAAACTTCCACATGTTACAATTACATGCATCTGGCTTAAAATAAACATTTTGGCTAGGACCAACTCGACGAAAATGTATCCCTCTTGGACTATTCTTGTCGACAACAATATTTTGAGCAACTGTATCATCTTCATAGATGAAATAGTGATTAACGACTGAATAGGAAGGATTGTTCTTCAATGGATTAGGATAGGTAGAAAGATTAGGAAAGTAATCAGATAAATGAGGAACGTCTTCAAAAACTAACCATCATTACCCATCAAGAATTTCTTGTTCAAATTCCGCACTTCAAAACAATCATCCAATAATCCCATAATTCAACTCAAATTCAATTACAAGGAAAATACTTTATTTATAAACTCAACAGTTCTTCAATCTCACTAATAGAAAATATAAGACAATTCACCTATTTATATTACTAATAAACCAAATTAATGTAGGATTAGAAAACCTATTACAATATGAAATAGGACAAATAAAGTACCATATAATAAATCCTAAGCAAATTAGGATTTAATTTATGGTAAGTTACCTAATGTTTTTTACGCACGGTAAAAAGGCATATAAAGTACATATTTTCCATGTTTTTGTGTCGATTTACAATTTTATCATAAGCCCCAATTCTTTATTTTTATCTCCAAATATACCGAGTTCTTATATTTGGAGAAAATCAACTCCAACCCAAATTTCTATTTTTTTCACTCCAAAAAAGAGTTCTCTTATCTCCTTAATATTATATTTTTATTTTTATTTCTACTTCATAAAGTAAATCCTTAATTCCTTTTTCAAATAATCATCACATATGATTCATATTCTTTTCTAATTTACTTTCCTTTTTTTTTCATTTTTAACTATTGCATCATCTATTCTCATACTAATTAAAAAGTGTAGCATAAAATAAAAATAACTTGTTTGATTTGTCAATTTTGTGCATTTTTCATAGTTAAAAACAATTATAACTATATTCTGATCCACTGATTTAATGACGCACGAATGCACCTTAACTCTATCTTTCCGCGCACGTTCGTCGTTGATATCATTAGTTTTTGGTTGAAGATAGTTACGATGATTATCATCAAGCTTTTAGGAGTAGAATTAACAAATAATTGTCATTTAGGGCAGAATGGATTGCAAGCTCTTGAGAATTTACATGTTTACTAATTGTCATTAATGCTTAAGGTTGGATTCATTAATATCTTCAGCAAGTGAACGAGTTTAAGACCTCATTTTTTTCTATTAAGATTAAGAGATTTGAATCTGAATACACATGATTTGCATAAGATCTAAGTATCAAGATCACTCAGATTCATACCTACAAACCAAACACACTTAATGAGTTGAATTTGAATGATTAAGATTCAAACCTCCATTACAAATGAGACCCAAATTTTATACATAGCCAGCTATGTGAGCATATGATCTTTTCTTAGCCAAATGACATCTCACTTTAGATATTTTGCTCTTTCCCTTAAAATATGTTTAAATTAATTAATTATTCCATTAATGCTTTTGTTTTTCAAATAGTGAGATAGTATTTGTTTCCGTTAAGATGAAAAATTTAGTTATTACATTAAATAGAGATTGAACCAGTTTTCCATTTTGGCAGACGCATGTAAGCCATCAGTACACGAATAATCAGAAAGGGTAGAAAATACCAATCCAACTACTAAAGTTGAGGCCAAAAAACCCAAAAATTAGAAGTTTGCAAAACACAGGATTTCATTAACCTAATTATGAGAAAAAGTGAGCCTAGTCAATAGGGAAACAAAAAAAGTTTCACGTGAAACCAAACAACTATAACATTTGGTATATATGTCACAAGGACAAGATAACAAGAACAATTAGTTTTTAGTCACATAGACAAACGCAAAATTTTCACCAACAATAAATCAAAAACTAAATACAAAGTTAACACTTGTGCAATTTAGTCACGGAAAGCTCTTTCCTGGAAAATGATCACAAAATTGGTTGAGGATCTTGGGCAACTAACCAATTTCTCGGAGAATCGAAGTGAATATCAAGAAGTACACTTCATTGAGTAGATCCTACAAACTCTTCTTCTTGATATAATTACGAACTTCTAAAATATTGCATTCTTTAGTAAAAATTTTGAACAGAACGTCATCATCCCATTCAAGATGCTCCATCACACACATATTGGAAGAATTGATAACGTTGCCATTCTTAAGGTTGGGAAACTCTATGCTTGAAAGGTAATGAATATCATGTTTTTGGGCCAAGTATCCTAACTTAAATGTGCATCGCTCAAGACCCATCTGGAGAGAGAATAAAGTCAAATTACAATCATAATGCACAAATGTCACAAAACAATGATTTTATTGTATGAGGGAATGAAGGGAGCACTTGAATATGTTTTCTTTATATAATTTGAATTTTCTTCTTAGTATGATGTTGTTATAGTGACTTGTTCACTTCTTTAAATGTAAAGTTTTAAAAAATTCATGTGTACGACATTGTTTACATCTGTTTTGTAACACTGTTCATACTGGAAAGCGACCTAAAAAGAATGTGCAAATAAAAGAGCAAAAGTAGCATGAAGCACTTACAAAAGTAGTTTCAGTATTTATGTTGAGTGTCTCCATGAGGCGAGGCGAGGCGAGGCTCCCAATGGGATAGCTACTCCATAGATATAAAAAGTTGTGATAAGCAAATCCAAAGTTAGACATTTGCATTTCAATACTGGAAGCGACATCTTTACAAATTGCATCACTACATGATGTGGTAATCTCAATGAAACTAGTAAACGATCGAGAAGTCAAGAACAATAAAAAGGAAGAAAAATCCTATCTAGATTGATAAAGTTAAGCCAAATCTGACCATCTAACAATGTAGGTAGATAGTAGAAGAAGTACCCGACTTTAGAAAGTTGACTGAACGATTGGAAAAAGTCAAGAGAGTTGTATTAACACCAAAAATCTTTGTATAATGTGTAAAATTCTCGAAATTGTGGTATATCCGAAAGTGGATGTTGTCTCTTTATGTTATCTATATACCAAAAAGAAAATAAGGTCTTCATGACAAAAGAAACCACAGTGAACCAATTCCCTATCGTTAACTCGGTTGCATTGCTCAACTTTTGAAGATTATCTTCAACAGTCTTCTTATAACTTGATGCTCTTCCAAACGCAACGTGGCACCAACATTAAAGGTACCTTAAGCAATCCAAGCACAACTTATTTGGAAAGTAAGCTTAGCACTAACCATAAAGGATATATTTACTAGCCTACACCCGAGATCATACATATCTTCGGAGATCTCCAAATTTTAAATATGCGAGGCAAAAATATTCAAAGACAGATCATCAGAGTCATCATCATACGACTTCGAACTTAAGCCTCTTTAAATTTGATGAATTGATTTCCAAATGATCAAATTCGGAGAATTCGAGGATTTTCAAAGCAGGACAACCTGAGAGTATGTTTACAATTATGTCATTCAACCGTAGGGTCCTTAAATACTTTCAATCTATGACAATTTCCTTATCAAGTGTACAACACGTGAGATTCAATGTTATCAAGGATGAACACTTATAGATAGTGTCAGGCAAGTCACTGGAGTTATTCTCAAATGAATCTTACAACAATAGTAGCAAGTCAACAAGAGATTCGGAACAATAATTTATTTTTATTTTCACCTTTATAGTAGGAACCCATCGGCTGATCATGAAATCTACTATGTTATCAACAAATCCAATTTGTTGCTTGTATTTGGACAGGTGGGTGAAATGCAAATGGAAGTTTTTAATTTTGGAACAAGTAGAATGATTTAATACATAATCGACAAAGGATATAAAGTTTTTCCTTTGCGATTTATCTTTTACTAAGAGAAAAAGAAGTTATCAATTAAAGGTCATAGATGCTCCCACCATTTTGAGTGCGATTTATCTTTTACTAAGAGAAAATTGAAGTTATTAATTAAAGGTCATAGATGCTCCCACCATTTTGAGACAAAACAATGTTGTGAAGACATCTTTCATCGGCAAAAGTGAGAGAATCTGAATAAAAAGAGAATCCAGCAACTTACTGATTCGACTTTGGATTTCAACTTTTTTCATTTGCTTATTTGTCGCTTCAATCTTTTTTGCAAGGTCATAAATTCATCGTTTTGGGTGCAAAAAGGTGCAGACAAAGCAAAAGATGGACCTACGACCTTACAAAAGAGTTGAAGAGACAAATAAGAAAATGAAAAGAGTTGAAGATCAGAGCCGAATCAGTAAGTTGCCCGATTCTCTTCTTATTCTAATTCTCTCACTTTTGCCAACAAAAGATGCCTTCACAACATCTGTTCTCTCGAAAAGGTGGGAGCATTTATGGCCTTCAATTGATAGCTTCTTTTTCTCTTGTAAAGATAAATCGCAAAGGAAAAACTTCATATCCTTCGTCGATTACGTATTAGATCATTCTACTTGTTCAAAAATTAAAAACTTCCATTTGAATTTCACCCACCTATCCAAATACGAGCAACGAGTCGGTTTTGTTGATGACATTGTAGATTTCACAATTAGCCGATGGGTTCCTACTAATGAGGTGAAAAATAAAAATAAATTATTGTTCCCGATCTCCCGATGGCTTGGTACTGTTGTTGAAAAGAATATTGAAAATATTATACTGTTGTCAGATTCATATGAGAATGACTTCCTTGATAACATTAGATCTCACTTGTTGTATACTTGACAAGGAAGTCGTCATAGAGTGGAAGTCTTTAAAGACCCTACGGTTGAATGACATAACCTTAGATGATGACGGAATTGTAAACATACTCTCCGGTTGTCCTGCTTTGGAAATCCTTGAATTTCTTGAATTCTCCGGATTCCGTCATATGGAAATTAGTTCTTCAAATTTAAAGAGGCTTAAGTTCGAAAATCATTTGTCGTACTATAACTCTGATGATCTCTCTTTGGATATTTTTACCCCACATGTTCAACATTTGGAGATCTCTAGATATATGTATGATCTCAAGTGTAGGCTAGTAAATGTATCATCTCTAGTCAGTGCGAAGCTTACTTTCCAAATGAACTGGACTTGGTTTGATCAAGGTCCTGATGAGCATCAAGTTATAAAGATACTCATCGAAGATTATCTTCAAAAGTTGAGGAATGCAACTGAGTTAACTTTTGGGACTTGCTTCATCGAGGTATGTTGACCTTATTTGCTTTTTAATATATAGATATCAAAAGAGAAAACACTGAGAATATAACACAATTTGACAACTTTTAAACTTTTTACAAAAACTATTGATATGAATACAAAACTCTCCCGACTTTTTGCATTCTTTCTATCAACTTTCGAAAGTCGGTACTTCTTCTACCATTTAGCTACATTGTTAGATGGTCAAATTTTTCATAACATTATTTGTCTACACAAGATTTTCTTCCTTTCATTTGTTCTTGGTTTCTCGATCGTTCACTTCATTGGGATGACCACCTCAGGTACTAATGCAGTTTGATAAGATGTTGCTTTTAAAATTGAAATGCAAGTGTCTAACTCAGGATTGACATAGACTATTATTTCTATAGAATAGATATCTTGTTACGAGCCTCGCCTCGCCTCATGTGGAGACACTTAATATAACCATGGCAACTACTTTTGTAACTTCCTACAACTTTTGCTCTCTTATTTGCACATTCATTTTAGGAAGTTCTAACATCCCTCCCCTTCCCTATATTGAACGTTGTTCTGAAAGGGATACAATCATGCATATATATCTTTGATTATCACGAATGAGACATTTGTCACTAGAAAACTTCATATTAAACAATTGTTGACAAACTTAAGAGTTATTACTTAAGGTTTGGTCTACTTATCCCAATAGTCATCCTAAAAGGAACAAATTTTTTTAATCATTTTCCCAGAACCATTGAAGATTGGTCGATGCAAAAACTATTCTATACCAGACACTTGTCCTATGAAATCATTCTTTGTAACTTTTTGTGCATTATGATTTTCATTTGACTATATTCTCTTTCAAGTTGGATCTTGAGCAATGCACATTTAAGTTGCGATATTTAGCCAAAGAATATCATTTCTTATCAAGCTTAGAGTTTCCCAACCTCAAGAATGTTAACGTTGTCAATGCTTTCAAGATCTGTTTGAAGAAGCATCTTATTTGGGTTTATGATAATCTTTTCAAACTCTCAGAAAATCTACTGAAGAATACAAAAGTTTTGGAGAAGTTCTTAATTATATCAAAGAGAAAAAATGTAGTATTTGTGCTTCTCGATATTCATCTCGATTGGCTAAGAAATTGGTATGTTGCCCAAGATCCTCAACCAATTATGTGATCATTTGCGAGGAGGGAACTTTTCATGTCTAGGTTACAAGTCGTTATCTATTTTGGTGCACCCATAAATGTTACTTTATATTTAGTTTTTGATTTACTATTGGTGAAAATCTTGAATTTGTCTATGTTACTTATTAAGTGTTTGTTCTTGTAATCTTGTCCTTGTGACATACCAAATGTTATGGTTGTTTCGTTTCTCATGAAACTTTTCTTTGACGCATTTTGGATGTGGATATGTTTCAAAATTTTCAACTAGATTGTTTCTTTAGATTGACTACCCACACTTTTCACACAACTAGGGTTATGAGATGTTGTGTTTTGCAAACTTTGTCGATGACATCAAGGTACTTTTATGGGGAGGTAATACCTTTTAGGCATTTTCTAGGATGGAAGAGGTTTAAAGTGTTTGTTTGTCAGAAAGATTTTGTAGCCAATTATGATTGATGCTAGCAATGCGGTCAAATGCTAATTTTTAACTTAAGGTCATATTATAAAGTGTTGGTTATGATACATATGTTTGATTCACCTAAATCTTATAAAATTAGGTGGATCTGAGTTGGGCTTAACTAGCTTACTAGAGGTTGTAAAAAATTTGTGGAGCAATAGTCTATTGTATCAAAGATAAGAGAGTGCCGGAGATGTTCAATGAAGTATAAACGGTGAAAATTGATATTATTTTTGGTTGAATGAGAAATTGTTAGGTTGCCCAAGATCCCCCACAAGTTCTATGATTATCATCAAGGTGTGAGCTTTCCATGACTAATAATGATAAACAGTGTGACATGTCAGGATGTGGTAAATGTCGTCTTATGTTGAGTTTTTGATAACCTACTCATGCAATCATGAAACTACTAATCCTCCCATATAGTATGAACAATCTCTATCACGTTGGACATGAATTTCCCTATTAGATGATCGAGAAGATGAAATAACATTATTATTTCAAGCCTGTTGTTAGTCATTGTCATTAACAACCATATCATCGTGTTCATATTCCATGAATATTTCATCAATGGTATAAAATTATGCAACAATGCACAAGTTATGGCAATGATTCTTCTTCTTTTAAGCCGAGGGTCTATCGAAAATAACTTTTCTCCTCTACAAAGATAGGAGTAAGATCCTACCCTCACGTATATTGTTGTTATTGCTATCTGATATTAAGGATATTGTTACTACGTTATCTGCATCACCTAATCCAGGTGTTAGTAATGGACAAGGTTTGCCAATCCAAAACATTGGTAATGCCTCTTTGTCAAATCTCTCTTTTGTCTATGTTCAAATATTTCCTTGTGACGATAACTTTTTCTTTAAATTCCATCTGCTTATTGTCAGTCAGAGTAGTATTGCTCTTTACACCGTGTCAATCAAACCACATATCCGATTATCCTTCGCTTTCACAGCCACAAAAGTCACATCCTCTTATTGGCATCTTTGATTGGGTCATTCGCCTCAGAAGCTCTTAGAGTGTTGTGAAAAGCGCATAAAAGGGCGCTTCAACGCGAGGCCTACCAATGCGCTTCTTTCTCCTGAGGCGATGCGATCTGAAAAAGGCGCTCGCTTCAGATAAAGAAGCGAGAAGCGACAGTGTGGGAAAAGCGCAATAAAGCGCGCTTTTTATAAAAAAGCGACAATTAGATTTTTTAAAAAAAAATAGTTTTTTTTTAATTTCTGAAATAGATACGACTTAATTTTCTTTCACGACTTTACGACTTTACTCTTCTTTCGCTCCTTCTCTTCTTCACGACCGCGACTGCTCTCACTTCACCAGCTTCATCTGATCGGTGAGTTTCTTTTCTCTTCGATATGCTTCTCCTGTTGCTCTTTTTAATTTTCCTTTTCTCCTCTTTGGGTAATGCAAACATGACTCTTCTCTGCTGTAGTTTTTTATTTTTTGCTTTATATGTTATGACTTATGAGTATTATTGACTATCTATTTTTCATTAAATCTAAGACTATATTACCTCTATTTAGTTATTAATATATTTTTATTTTTATACTAAATGTCACCTTTTTAAAAAAAAAGTGTGTGCTTCGCTTCACGCTTCTCGCTTCTATGAAGCAAGCCCTCATCGTTTTTTTCCGCTTCTCGCTTCCCGCTTCCCAAAACACTGGCTCTTAGCCAAATGTTGTCTAGACATCAGCTTTCTAGTTCTAGTTTTAGATTACAAAAAATTTGCAAGTCCATAATATAAGTACTAAAGTTTTGCAACTCAGTTCCCCCTTTTCTGTCATCTCAAGGTCATCATTCTTCTAAAGTCTTCTAATACCGAGCAAGTTAGAGTTAGCTCTATGAATCCTTCGTTTTATTTTCTAAATAAACAACCGAAATGGTAGCAAAAGAACAGAACCAGTCTGTGATAATCCTTCATATGAAATTAACACCAACTTATGAACTCTTTTGTCAAAATTAAAGCAAACTTCTATTATTTTCCATTTGCTTGGCTCCTCCGAGAACCATAGTTTGTCTCACTATTGCCACAGTCGTGGTCCTCACACACATCAGGAAAAATTCCAATATATAGATCAACAGAATGAAATATGAAATCAATTCGACCCCTATTTGCAATATTTTAAATTTTCCTCCCTCAACTATAACACAACCTATGCTACAAATTCCACTAAGCATAGAAACTCCTAGTACGAACCTTTCCTAAAAATATATCCGTTAAATAAAAGAATCATGATGGGTGATGGAAATTCAGAAAACCCATTCAAAAGTGTAATGCTTAGGTAGAGATTGAAATTTAAACTTCCAACGCCTAATGATCAGAGCCCCCACTCACGACTTCTCACTAGAATCATGAGTCTTTAAATCAAAGCAACCTTGTAAGACAACTAACATATGCCAGATGAATGGAGATCTCAAAGGATCAAACAGATAAATATAATCGAACATTCTCATTGTGATGTGGCCAAACAGGCAACAAATATGAAGACATTTCAGAAGACTTAACAAATAATCACTAACAACACATGCATGCTTTAACAGGTAGATCAACTAACTCACTATTTTAAGCTCCAGGAAGTTGATGTAAATACAACACGCCAAGATGCAATAGAAGGTTTAATGTCAATATAAAAGATTGTCACAAAATTTGATACCTTAAAATAAGTAGGATAGGAAGCAACCAATTTTTTTGCTCCGAGTTCAATGGCCTAAGAAATAGCAGCATTGTACTAAAGTTGTTCAGAATGTTGAGAATGTTGTGCATCCGAGTCGGGTTCATTAAATAAATCTCCAAAACCATCCAAGAGCAGCTGAGGACCTTATTTTGACATGTTTCCAGCAGCTAAGGTTACTTCATTGTAAGGAAGTAAAAGAATCTCTGAACCTTCAAGTTGTAACGGGGCTTCATCTTCCGATAGCGTTGTATATGAATCTGCTCCAAGATTCGAATCCATAGTGAGTACCTATTAAAATTCATGGTAATCAGAGTCATTAGCTGAGATCAGATAATTAATTAAGTCGTTTGGCTAGAATTAACCACATTTCTATTACTAGTTTAACCAAAAGAAAGAACAAGAACTATTTCCCAGAAAACCAACAAATTGCAGCGAGCATAATGATTTTTTAAGTTCATCTAAGACCTTAGCAATGATAAGTTACAATTATCAAGTCTGAACAGAGGTCATGTAAATTAGTGATAGTTCTTATGTATCTGAGAATGGAAATAGCCAATAATTTGTGTGAAGATTTACCAAATATGGCATCATTTGACAATTTCCCTGTTATGATCGTGTGATCGTGTGGTCGGTAAAGAACAGTTCAACTTCTTTGTGCACCGAAGAGAAGTTGGGGTTGAGCCGATCTAACAGGCCATTCTCAATTTAGTAACTCTTATTTGACTTCAAGAAATTCTTCCATGTTTCAATATGCTTATTTAATAGTGTTGCTTGAATTTTTGTCCCCTAGTATTGATTTAAGCGAGATATCACCTCTTCGTCAACTAATATTAGCGTTCGGGAAGTGCCTTCATGCCTTGAATTATTCTTGTAAGGTATTAATGAAACCTACTCACATCACCCATTCGACGGAGCATTTTGGTATCTTGTTAATCGGTATACTGTGTTTTGATAGTTCAGTTTCAGTCGCCATGTGTTCTACATCTGGATGCTTAGAGGTAGAGATGCGAAGTGAATACAATGTTAATATCAAGGGTTATAGAAAACATAAAGTAAAGGATAGCAATTTTATATTAGTTGTTTTTTAGATTTAGTGGCAGATATGAAACAGTTTACAGATGAGAAGTGGGAAAAGTTAGAAATCCACAAATAACAGTCCCTGCACATGTTATTTTTCCGGCAACAGTTTCAGGTGGGATTTATTCTAGAATGATCAATTTAGCCATCAATTTCTGTTTTTTATTATTTTTTTTTAGTAAAAGTGAATAATCTTAATGGATTATGTATCAATATAAATTCAGAATGTCAAAACTTAAAACAAACTAAGCTAAACAGAAATGATTTATGGAGGATTTCGATGTGCAAGATTTGCATCGGTTCAACTATCAAATTACAGGGTATCATAACTTTGTTGGGGGAGTGTATCTTAAAGGACTGTAAATTGTACATAAAAATGGGCATTTCAAAGATAGTTTAGAACTTACAGCTCGTTAATGGTGGCGAGAAAATTCAACAAAAGCAGTGGCAAGCAACTTCACCAAAACCTATTCCGAATTCCAATTCAGTTTATGCAGAAGCTGGAGATTGCGTTCATTCTGTGATTGGTTTTTGAAGAGAGCGCTGTTTCTAGTTAGGGTTTTTGTTAGGACAAAAGTAGCTTTTCACTTTAGAGCTGTTCCTCGTTTATATATTGGTCCAATAAATGTAAAAAAAGATCTTATTAGTATTATATTTATTTTAATGAGTCAAAAATGCCACATGATCTTTTCAAAATTAGAAGAAAAAAAAAACTCATTTTTCTCTATTGGAGTAATAACTTTATTTCCACATTTGTTGGGAGACAATTATAATGTCTTACAATTTAGATAGGTTTTTTTGTATTTCAATGTAGTGTTATGCTTCTTTCTAGTTAACTATGAAATTTGTACGGAATAATGATTCTTTCGTATGTGTTCAAATATCTGTGTGCTTGAATTCATATGATAAAAATAATTATGATCGGATTGAATTTTAACGATCAGAATAATACTCTACAAAAGGATAAATCCGATCACTAAAAATGAACGAGAGGAGTGTTGTTCTGATTGCAAGCACTCCTCACTTTCAATCCAAAGATTGCGAGTTTGAGTCACTAAGGAAACAAAAGGGGTGAAAGCTACTAGAGAGGGTTAAAAAAAAGAAAAAATAACTTAAATACACAACTATAAGTTTAATATTCTCTAATTTTTCCTTCTTTTTTTAAATATTACATAATTTCCTTTTTTTTAATTTTAGTAGAAGTTTAGAGATACATAGTCTTCTCTCTCCTATAACACACACTTCCCCATATCATGCCTATTTTTTCTTCACTAAAACACTCAATCTTCCACTTTTTGAATTTTGAATTATTAATTTTAATTAAAAATGTTTCACAACATTTAATATGAAATTTTGAATTTCAAAATTCAAAAAATTTGAAATTTCTGAAAATTGGATGCTTGTGCTCTTGTGGTGCTTGGAAAAGACGTTTTCTCTCTCTCAATAAAGCTTGGGTTTGATTGTGCCTTTGCCATGGGATTAGTACTTGTGCTTGATCAAATCCAAGTTGATGATTTTGCTGAAAATCGGGTCGATGCCGACCCAATTATCACAGACGATCCCAATTTTTCTTCTTAATTCTTCTCTATGTAAGAGTTTTAAATTATATATATTTGTTTATAGTTTTGAACTCTTTGAAAAATCAATCTGTTCCTTTTTGTCTTTAATGTTAAAAAAAGAAACCTACTAACTCAATCTGAAATTATTCCAAATTTTTATCGTAAATTTTTATCATGTATCAGTGATTAATTTCAATAACTGCGCCATCAAGTGTGCTTGCTGATACATTTTGAATCAGTGTGTATAGTGTTTTAGACGATGGATTGATACATGAAGTGTTTGCTGATACATTTTGAATCAGTGTGCTTGCTGATACATTTTGAATCCATCAAGTGTGTATAGTGTTTTAGATGATGCATTGATACATTTTGAATCCATCAAGTGTGCTTGCTGATACATTTTGAATCAGTGTGTATAGTGTTTTAGACGATGCATTGATACATGAATTTGCTGTGTATCATAATGTTTTCTATGTATCATGCGGTTTTGAAAATTGTATTCAAAATAGATGATATAATCTTTGATTTTCAAAATTTGAAATTAATATTCAATTACGTGCTAATTTAGTGCTGATTAATGATCTGTTATCGTAAATTAAGCTATTTTAGTTAACAAGTTTAAATGTACTGTTTTTTCCCCATTTTTTTCTTAACAGTTTAAATTTACCATGTATCATTTACCATGTATCACTAGAGTCTAAAGT